TTTTTTTTTGAAGGGAAGGGGTCAAGGCAACTGGAACTGTTACTTGTAGAGGCAGCAAATGGAGTAACCCCTGCTATTCAGGGCCTGAAAATATGTTCAGGGGTAATTACCCCTAGAATTCTAGGGGGGGGTATTTAACCCCTGGATTCTAGGGGGGGGGTATTTACCCCCAGGATTCTAGGGGGGGGTATTTACCCCCGGGATTCTAGGGGGGGGTATTTACCCCCAGGATTCTAGGGGGGGGTAAATAACCCCAATAACCCCCCTTATATCCGCCACTGTAACAAAACATCATACAACGTTTTGCATATCAACAAAACAGTCTTTTACCGTTTACATAAAATATACTTTAGCAAACCTGACTTTCTTATGAGTATTAAAACTCGGAATACAGACGATTTTGAATCCCTTACTTCATGTTTATTGGGACACCCTGTAGAGAATATATATATGCAGGATACTCCTGCTCACTTCATGTTTATTGGGACACCTCTACAGAATATATATATGCAGGATACTCCTGCTGCTGCTCTCCTGGATGTTACGAACAACGACACCTCAGCCTGGTTGAAGGAGAAGCTGAGGAGTGTCCGGGAGAACATGAACAATACGTTCTTCTTCCTGGATACTGGGAACACGTTCCATACTCCACACTTCTTTAAATTCAAGGAACATACCAGATTTATACTAATTTTACAAGATTTTTTTTTCCCTGATAAGACCCATAAAACTTGTTTATCGGAATTTATGATTAAAAGGAATTCAATGAACATAAGACAAATCAATTCTGAAGTGTAAACAGACCTATTTCACTTTATTATTTGATTAAAACTTATCGGTAAAACTTTTTTCATATAAACATCAAATACACATACTTTGATTAAATGTCGTCTTTCAACATGTTCTCGGGTCTCACTGTTTCTATTGATAGGGTTTCAATTTGATGTTTAACTGGTTTGATTTTGACAGGTTAAATTATATAACCCGGACTTGTACAAAGAACATTTTGTGAAGGCGTGTATGGAAGAGGTTCAGGTTATCGGTGTATCCGGAGCATCAGCGAAGCGTCCCAAGGCTCCAGCTTTTGTTCATCTAACGACCCTGCGGAGTACCTGGGATAGCTTGAGAACGATTATACCAAACGTGTTGAACCTCGGGGTTATTGGATATCCTTTCATCAGTCCTGGTCCTGTTGGGGGCAAGGTTGGGTCTCCTCTCCTACAGATAGATCGGACCAAAACCTCCTCCTCCTCCTCTCCGAACCAGCTGCCACAGTCCAAGGGAAAATCCGTGAGAGCTGAGGTTAAGCCTCTAAACGGAAGTAGTATAGCGGAAGTAGAATTGTTTACAAGGTGGTGGCAACTTGCAACATTTTTACCCCAACTTCACTTTACAACTGCACCTTCCACGTACAGAAGCAAGAATATTGCCCCTATAGCCAAAAAATTAAAAGACATCAAGGAAAATATAGTTAACCCGGAACTAATCAGGTTCGGAAGAGAAGCCATGGAAATATCTCGACCTGTAATACGTCCGCTCTGGATGCTAAATCCAACGGATGAGATTGCTCAACGGATTGACGATGAATTTCTTATCGGAGACAAGATCCTGGTTGCTCCCGTCCTTCATGAGAATGCAAGACGGAGAAATGTTTACCTACCAAGGACGTATAACGGACAGGGAGTGTGGAAACGAGGGACGGACGGGACGTTTTTCGAGGGAGGACAATGGTTAAATAATTCAATAGCAGAGTTAGACACTATTCTATTCTTTATCAGACAACCGGAGCACGCTAGACCTGGCAACTAGAACTAGGAGTAAACCATGCAACCGGAGCATGCTAGACCTAACAACTAGAACTACGAGTAAACCACGCAACCGGAGCACACTATACCTGACAAATAGAACTAAGAGTAAACCACGCAACCGGAGCACGCTAGACCTGACAACTAGAACTACGAGTAAACCACGCAACCGGAGCACACTATACCTGACAACTAGAACTACGAGTAAACCACGCAACCGGAGCACGCTAGACCTAATAACTAGAACTAAGAGTAAACCACGCAACCGGAGCACGCTAGACCTGATAACTAGAACTACGAGTAAACCACGCAACCGGAGCACACTATACCTGACAAATAGAACTAAGAGTAAACCACGCAACCTGAGCACGCTAGAACTGGCAACTAGAACTACGAGTAAACCAGTACCACGCAACCGGAGCACGCTAGACCTGGCAAGTAGAACTAGGAGTAAACCACGCAGCCGGAGGATGCTAGACCTGACAACTAGAACTAGGAGTAAACCACGTTCAGCAATTTTCTCCAATGACCTTTTAAAGGGACTGTGGACGGTAATTTCAAACGACGCTTCCTTTTAAGATTGGCATGCACAACAGTATCATTAGTTCTGTGTTCGAGTGACAAAAACAAAGATATCTTTGTTTTTCTATCCTAAAAAGTTAATTTCTGACAATATAATTTATGGTTTCTGTTACACAAATATGCAAGTGACTTTGTTGAGAAACTGCAATTAAAAATAATAAATTTTCCGAAGTAAAAAAAAGTTTACAAGTTGCTGTAGTGAATGGAATTTGCTACTCTATAAATTGTGGGTTTAGGTCCAAATTCCTTTTAAAAGACGGAAATAAAATCATCACTGTTTTTGCAAATTTAAATGATTTTAGAAAATAAAGTATTATGAAAAAGGGTATTTGTTGATATTCACATATTTGTTTTGTTTTAGTAAAATTTACGATTCGTCAATCGGCGTCTAAACATGTATATTGTATATTATTATTTGTACATTAATAAAAGAAAATGAATAAAACATGAAGAAGAATTTTTTTAGTTAATCTTGACAATGGTCTATAGAAGCATGTCCAGGAATACATCAAGTTCAATTACTTTGTGTTCTGAATTAATCGGGGTTTAAATCAGGGGCGTACGCAGGGTGGGGGAGTTGGCAGGTCATTACCCCTCCTGAATGAAAATAGAGGGGGGGGGGNGTTAAACTTGACATCATTAGTTTCAAGTTAAGTAAATCTTGACATCGTTAGTTTAAAGTTCAGTTAAACTTGACATTATTAGTTAAAACTTAAGTTCATCTTGACATCATTAGTTTAAAGTTAAGTTAAACTTGACATCATCAGATTAAAGTTTAGTTAAATTTCACATCATTAGATTAAAGTTTAGCTAATTTTGACATTATTAGTTTAAAGTTTAGTTAAACTTGACATCATTAGTTTCAAGTTAAGTAAATCTTGACATAATTAGTTTAAAGTTAAATTAATCTTGACATCGTTAGTTGACAGTTGAGTTAAACTTTAAAGCATCTGTTTAAAGTTTAGCTAATCTTGACATTATTAGTTTAAAGTTGAGTTAAAAGCCTATTTTTAAGCTTTAATATTTCTGAAACTTTGATCCTTGAAAAGCAATTCTCACAAATAAATCTTTTCGTTCTATTTTAATGAAATCAGATTTCAAATCAGTTTTCAAGTTCAACATACAACTAGCTCAATACATTACATATTAGCTCAACATACAACTATCTCATTACATTACATATTAGCTCAACATACAACTATCTCATTACATTACATATTAGCTCAACATACAACTATCTCAATACATTACATATTAGTTCAACATACAACTATCTCAATACATTACATATTAGCTCAACATACAGCTATCTCAATACATTACATATTAGCTCAACATACAGCTATCTCAATACATTACATATTAGTTCAACATACAGCTATCTCAATACATTACATATTAGCTCAACATACAGCTAGCTCAATACATTACATATTAGTTCAATATACAGCTATCTCATTACATTACATATCAGCTCAACATACAACTATCTCAATACATTACATATTAGCTCAACATACAACTATCTCAATACATTACATATTAGCTCAACATACAACTATCTCATTACATTACATATTAGCGTTCAACATACAACTATCTCAATACATTACATATTAGTTCAACATACAACTATCTCAATACATTACATGTTAGTTCAACATACTAGTTGCTCAAGTCTGTTCTTGAATATTTTCAGAGTACTCGAGTCCTTTATGTGTATAGGCAGACTATTCTAAAGGTTGGCAACTCTATTAGAAAGAAGTTTTTCCTGATATCTGTCCTTGAACGTTTTTACACTAGGACGAGATTCTTGTGAGTCTGTTGTTATGTTCTCCTACAGCTTTGAACCAAATATCTGGGCTTACTCAATCAAAGCCATTAAGGATCTTTTATGTCTGCAGTATGTCACACTTTTTTCTACGGTCAGAGAGTGAGGTCAATTTCAGTTCGGAAAGTTTGTCCTCACATGTTCTACTGTTCAATCCTACAATCATTTTTACTGCTCGCCGTTGGACTTTCTCTGACACTTCAATATCTTGGATTAACCATGGGTACCAGGCTGCAATTGCAAATTCTAGATGGCATTTTACGAATTGCTTGTATAGGTTTGTGTCAAAATTGCAGACGCCCTATTTGCAGCTAAGGATACGGAAGGCTTTACCTAAATTGGTAAAGATCTAAAAGACTTTGTTGGAGTAGGGCATTTACTACAGGAATACAACACACGTCGGAACAGTTTGACCTGATAGGGCTCATCGGGCCCATTTTTTGTGACCACTCACACTAGGTTTATGGGTGGTCAAAATTAAAACATTTGTCCAGGAAAAAGTGTTGATTTCACGATTTTTGAAAGAACATCATTTTTAAAATTAGAATCCGTGATTCTTTTCTAATGGATTTGGAGTACAATGACTAAATAGTAGCTAGAAAATCGACAATGCTTTTTTCGTACTGATCAATTTTTATTTAATGAAAAAGCGTATTAAGTGATTGTTCAATTATTTCCTTTTTCTAATTACAGTAAGAAATAAGAAACTCTGGAATAGGAAGACGACTTTTAGACTCAACCCATCCCTTTAAATAGTCCAATGAAAATCAGACATTTCAATTGTGCAGTGTCCACAGACCCATTTCACTTAATAAGTGACTTAATAAGTTATTAGTAAAATTGCTTGCCTTATAACAAGATCAAATACATTAAAGCATTGCCATAATGTCGTCTTCTATTCCAATTCTCGCTGTATAATCGCAAATAATTAAGTCCATCTCACTACTCCAAAATGTTCTTGAGGCCCAGATTTGTTCAATGATAATTAAGAACAATTGTGTTATAAGTATTTTTTTTTATTTTTCGATATTTTCCTTAAATTAGACAAACAAATTAAAAAAAATAAGAAACTAGGCTATCAGGGCGCTTCGCGCCCATCTTCTATTTCAAGTTTTAATAATAGCTAGTAGCTCAATCTTTAAGCATTTTCTCTTTGATAAAACAAAATCAGTTTTTTTAGATTTACCAAAATTTTAATGGATTTTCAAAATCTTACGAAAATTGGAGACAATTTTTTTTAATTCTGAGCAATCTTTCCTGGGGTCATGTTAGGTTCCCAACAAAATTTGGGTACGATCGGCTCAGCCGTTTTGACATTTATTGGATACAAACGGACATACAAACAATAATTTCAGACAGAAAAACAATGTATACATTGTGGTGCCCCTGGATTCCTGGAACGCAGTACACAGCATATTCCATACTTCACATGTTATTGTTTAGATTATGATATACTGCATCTAGTATAAATACTGTTTTTGATAAATATGTATTCAGTCAGTTTATTTGGTCTTATTCCTTTCGTCGCTACAACATATGGTTTACACATAGAGAATAGAATATATAGAGAGGAATTTACTAGAAAAAAGTGTAAAACGGCCATTTTGTTGTACTGTTTCCATACTGCAGGTGTACTTCACATATTTATGCTATTTAACCTGTTGGGCCCTGGAATATCATTTTATAGAAAATCTAAAATTATTGTTAAAAGAAAACCAAATTATGAAATAAGCTGGTTTCATAATTAACCACCGATCATTTCACATTTTCTGTTATAACTATAAATCAAATGATGTTTTTATTCACCTAATTCATTATAAAGTTTATTTAACAGTTTAAAAAATTCGAAATTGAAATGGATAGTCTAGGGAACATACTGTATTAATGTACTCTACTGCATATAATTTGTGAACATATACATGATTTGTACACTTTGAACTCCCTTTCAGGCTGAAAGGGACTGAAAAAATTCATACCGAGAGATTCTTTAAATTCCTCTCTATATATTCTATTCTCTATGAATGTACATCATTAGAATCTTATGATTTTTTAATAACTATAATAATAGAGCAAAGGGTTCAAATACTTTATTTAATCAAAATTTCATTATAAATTTACAGCATTTTTTCATAGAAAATACTTAACACATGATGCAAACACACTAAATTTCAGGGTTTTATACTGAATCAGAGGTCCAACTGCAATCTGAAATTATCATTGGTAAAAAATATTTCTACACGCAATATGAAACCAGAACTTGTACAAAATCATAAACACCTTCTGTGCATTTTCAAGTGAAATGGATCTGTTTAAGCTGCACAATTGCTGTGATGTTGATTAGACTATTTTAAGTGATAACTTGAGTCTAAAAGTGGACTCCTGGTTTCTGTTAATTACTGTAGTATATCCAATATTTATGAATACATGAAATAACTTATATCATCTTTTCTGCACGATTTCTGCCATGTCCTTATCAGGGCTAATTATTATCTCTAAATACAAATTTAGATTATCTTTGTACCTTTAGGGGTTAAAGAACAAATATCATTTTAAACACAGAATGATGATTATCTTACAGTAAATTACAAAAATCATTTTGTAGCCGCAAGCATTTTTAGTACATTTTCAGTACATTTTAGTACATTTACAGTACATTTTAGTACATTTACAGTACATATAGTACATTTATAGTACATTTTAGTACATTTACAGTACATTTTAGTACATTTATAGTACATATAGTACATTTATAGTAAATTTTAGTACATTTATAGTACATTTTAGTAAATTTATAGTACATATAGTACATTTACAGTACATTTTTAGTACATTGATAATGAACAGGCTATGAAAACGACAGTATAAAATGTCCTAAATTGTCATCAACATGGGGTATTCTGCACACTGATATGAAAACGTCCGTTCCAACTTCCCAAGAATACTTCATACTACAAACTATACAGACGGGGACCGCTACGACTTTGTGACCTATTAGTTCCTCTATTTTTTTGACACACAGTTTTTTTTCTCAGTAAAATTGGAAATTCAAAGCATTTTTGTTCTTCTCAACAATTCAACAATCGGAAATATTTAAGATTTCAATCTTTCAAACTTTAGCTTAACGTGAAAGCTGTACCTGGAGAAACCAGATCTTACGCGCACAAGTTCTGCGTGTATCCAATATCGAATCCAACATCTCCACGATCAGCATCTCCAATAGCACTGGTGTCATCAGCTCCTAGTTCAGCCTTGGTGCCAGCGGCCTCACTATCATCAAAGAATACTCCAACTCGGAATGGTATACTGGAACCTAAGCAAAAAATTAAAGTACTGATTATTTTAAATCTTTTGTTTATTTGGGTTGTGTGTTTGTTTTATTTGTCTATCTGTCTGTCTTTATCTAATATACGTCAAACCGATCCGGCTCAATTTTATATTGTAGCAAAAAGGCATCCGCTAATTTTGAATTTTTCATTTTTTTCACATAAACGGTTTATTTCGTTTGTTCACAAACTCATCCCCAAAGGAAGGAAATAAATTTACATTTTTAATCTTTTTTTTACTTTTAGAGCAGAATGTTGGGAATATCTAACAAATTCTTAACGTTCAGAGAATGTCCTTATATTCTAAGAAAACGTTTTTATATACTAACTTATTTTTCTTATATTCTAACAAAGTGTTCTTATATTTTAAGAAAATGTCCTTATATTCTCACAAAATGTTCTTTTATTCTCACAAAATGTACGTAACTTCTAAATGCCTTATTTGTTCGATCAGTGTTATACACTATATTTCCCTCGGCCAACACAAAATTTCCTCATCAGAATTTATGATTTAAAAATACAGTTTAAAGACAGTTAACGATATTGTGTCAAATGTCCTTATACTTTACTAAAACTAAAACTTTCCTTTTATATAAAGTTAAAGAGCGTATACTGCCTGCAGGCAGTATATCCAAATTTAAGAAATTATCCCACGAATAAGTTAAACTGCCTTATAAAAACAGAAATACTTAAGAACAAATAGAGTATCAAGTACAATAGGGTGGCAATAGAGAAATGGACTAATTATACATGACGTCACAAGTGTAAAAAATAACAAGAAAAACGAAATTTTCTCACATTAGTTGACATGTTTTCCAAGATTAAAAAAAAAGTGTAAAAACAGGAAATAAAGAACACATCAAATTGCACTTATTTTACTGTAAGATAAGCACTTAGCCTAAAATTATCACTATTGTTAATAATGTACAGCTGTACTGAGAGTGTACAAATTCTACGTTGCCATCTATTGTACATGTACTAGAGTGTGTTTGCTTAAGAAGAAGTTCTGGTTTGGCCGTACACTGCATATCTTGAATTTACAAAACAATTTTATAGAAATATATACTTGTAACAGAGGTAGGGACGGCATCCTGGTCATTTGCGTGCAACTGCTGTCCACAGAATCTATATAGAACAATTCGTTTTAACAGTCTTTAAAGGGAATATACACGTAATTTCAAATGTCACTTAATACAAAGCAAGGTGTGCGTGATTCGCAATAGTTCCCTTTAATCCTTCGTCCGAGCAAGGATGTTACAAGAATTTATTTAAAAATTTGATTTTTTTTGATGTTTTCTGTAAAATATTGACAGAATTTAACACTTTTTATTTACAAAAGAAAAATTGTATTATTTTCCTAATTGCTGCAGCTCATATAAAGGTAAAAGATTACCATTGTGAATCTCTAAGTAGGGGTTCACTAATAATTAAATCCAAAGCTTCTGTAAAACAAGATTTATTCCTTATATCCAGAGGTGTACACTGGGGGGCGGGTGGTGGGGGGGCTACGGGGACTTAGTCCCCCTGGATCAGTAAAATCTATGGTTTCTGGGGGGTTTCACATATTCTTAAATCAACTTCGTCAACTGAAAACATGAATTTTGGCAAAACTATACAGTGAGACCCAGAAAACTATGAAAAAGGAAGACGATATTTATTTTATGTGTTTTTGATGTTGTTAGAAAGCAAATAGTTATACCAGTAGCTTAAATACCAACATAGTAAGGAAGTTGGGCTTGTTTACTCAGCACAATTGCGGTGTTTCATGTTCATTGGACTAATTCAAATCATTAATTGAGTCGTATTCCTCTTCCACAGTTTACTGGGTGTCAATGTGTACAAACCCCGGACTAACCAGAGCTGACAACTTTAGAATGGGATATCCTTAATCCCGATCGCTTAATCTGAGTATCCAATGATTGGTTGAATTTTAAACTTCTTTCTTGGATATCGAATACGTATTACCCTAATCTCGGGTTTAGTAAAACCAGGAGATCAAGGATTGATCTCGATATCCACCATTCTAAAGTTTTCAGCTCAGGACGAAATGCATTCGGGTTCTTCTATTTGAATTCTATCATGTGTTCGTCTATAATTAAACAACCATTAATTTCACAGAATTGTCTTTTCATACTTTTTCGTTCATAAGTTCATAACGTATATGCCGACAATACAATACAGTATAACAAAGAAAAGGCGGAAAAAATATGTGTGATAGGTCCACTCGTGATCGAAATTCACAGGTCTTTGGGATAAGGACAGAACCATTAAATCAGCTTGATTATTTAACGAACCTGTCATATGTATCAACTCCAACAGTATCTTCTCCTTCAAGGATAGCTATCCAGTCATTTCCAAGCTGAAGTTGTTCCTGAGTATTTCATTAATGAAGAGCACTGTACATGCAATTTCAATTGACCCTCAACCTACATTTGATATTTGATATGTCCTTTCCACAACGGTTTCTGTAAAAGGCTTTATAAGATCGACTATGCATGAGATTTCCATCATCTTTCTTTAATAATTTACTTGTATTGCATGCATTTCTGCTTCAGAATTAATGGAAGAAATTGTCAGAATTAAAAAACGACAATGATCAGATACAGGTTGTGAATCCAGCATGTCTCTCTTTATATAAAATGTAACTTTAATTACGACAGTACTTTAAAACGAACAATAGAGAGGCTTTTTAAAAATGAGACTTAAAAAAACGATATCAAGGAGGATATGAAAGTTGAAACTCGAAATATTAGACAAAATTAAACAAATGCAAAATTTCGTCGCTACAGTCCTAAGTTTTGGTAATTAGCCTGTATTTTTGTTAATTTCCCTGTATTTTTGTTAATTGCCCTGTATTTTTGTTAATTGCCCTCTATTTTTGTTAATTGCCCTGTATTTTTGTTAATTGCCCTGTATTTTTGTTAATTACCCTGTATTTTTGTTAATTACCCTGTATTTTTGTTAATTTCCCTGTATTTTTGTTAATTGCCCTGTATTGTTGTTAATTACCCTTATTTTTGTTAATTTCCCTGTATTTTTGTTAATTTCCTGTATTTTTGTTCAGAATTGAATAATTTAATTCAAGAATAATTAGTTCTGCAAGCAAAGCAGTTATTACAAAGAGAAGTAGCAAGAAGACCACAGACGTGTGGGGTTTACAACAATTATTAATCATGTCTTAAACCATCTATTTAAAAATTGTTTAAAATTGTTTTCAATTTTAAAACAATACAAGAATAATTTACCGAAGGTGCGGCTGGATCGCCTGGGAAGAGATTGATGCTGTTACATTTGCCAGTACCAGACCCAAAGTTATTCTTGAAATCAACTGCAGAAACCTGGATAAAGATATTCAGTCTTTGCCACATACTCTGATTTTCTAATCCCTACATCTTTGCAACCCATTGTTATAGACTATAGACTTAATTCCTAGCTTTGGTCGGTATTTTAAAATTTGGTTTGTTCAGTATTCATTACAATTTGGTTTGTTCAGTTTATTCATTACAATTTGGTTTGTTCAGTATTCGATACAATTTGGTTTGTTCAGTTTATTCATTACAATTTGGTTTGTTCAGTATTCAATACAATTTGGTTTGTTCAGAATTCAATACAATTTGGTTTGTTCAGTATTCAATACAATTTGGTTTGTTCAGTTTATTCATTACAATTTGGTTTGTTCAGTATTCAATACAATTTGATTTGTTCAGTATTCATTACAATTTGGTTTGTTCAGTATTCATTATAATGTGGGTTGTTCAGTATTCAATACAATTTGGTCTGTTCAGTATTCATTACAATTTGGTCGGTTTGTAATAAATATCGGGTAACCTACTTGGAATGTAGTAGCCAGGTAGGAAATGGAACAATACCCAGCCTCACGTCTCATGCAAATATTATAGTCCTATTTCAAACAATACATTTAATCAAACTTAAATATTTTGGCAAAAGAAACTTAAACACGAGATACTTAACAAGAACATTTTTAGAATCAAATCTCAGGGGTCAGGGTTTCAAAAGTTTTAACATCAAGAGAATTAGGTTATAATTTTATCTGTGATTTGTATATGTTCCTGGTTGGCGAGATGCACGTTGTTCGCCAGGTTGAAAGAGGAGAAGGAGCCCGAGGTGCCGGTGAAGTACTGCAGACAACCTGAGTTGGAAATTTATGAATGTAATTAAACTAGTTTCGACTAGTTCAACTTCTATTCAACCTGGAAAGAAACCAGAAACCAGAATCAGAAAAGTTATTTCAAATTTGATCTCGGTGGCACTAGAGAATAAAAAAGGTTAAGCTAGTCAAAGCTAGTTTAACTTCGTCTTGTTATTCATAAATTATGGTCTTTGGAGAATAAAATCTTATCTAAAAATGCGGTTATTAAATAAATAGTTTTATTGATGATTCAATGAAAAAGCTTTTACTTGATTAAAGACCTAGCACACTAAACTAATCTGGTTGGGTAGGTATATAATAGGCCTATCATATAGTCCAGGTACTAGAAAAAGTCTTTGCCGTGCCATTAAAGTTTTTATCGAGCCGACACAGGAAAGGGACGGGGCGGTACTTGCCATGCGTCACTAAGGCTGGTAAAGGGGTGGGTCCGGTTCGAATTCAAATTGACGCTAGTCCACCGTTTAATTACCTTTTGGAGCCTCCCAGATCATTCCTTCTTCTATCTGAGCAACCTTAACAGACCATTGTTGAGCTATAGGAGAGGCCATGTTAAAGGTCATTGTAACACAGTTTACTCCATCAGTCTCAACATACACTAAAATATTACTAGGATTAATTATTTAAAATATTTAAAGGGACTGTTAGCATATTTGAGATATAAAAAGGGACTGTCAGCATATTTAAAATATATGAATGGACTGTTAGGCTTCTAGTGAACGAAACGTTTTGCGATAAAATGCGAAAATTTTCGGTCGCATTTCCATAAACTTTTTCGCAGAATTTCGCAATTTTTCGCAAAAATAAATGAAGCGAAAACGAAGCAAAATTTCGCGAAAATGTGAAAAGCGAAAATTTCACGAAAATATTTTCGCGAAATACGAAAATTTTGTGAAAACCATGAGTTTTATAGCTGCAACAACTAATTGCTCAAAAGAACTTGTGGAATTCTCAGCTCTGATAGCTCAATATTTGAAGTTTTATTTAATTTTATTAAAAAAGTATAGGGATTAGAAAGTTAGAGTGAGTGGCAAAGACTCAATTCCTTTCTATGAACCAAACACGACGGTTAGATTATCTAAAAGAATTTATATTTCTGGCACTAGGGAACATTTCCTTTATATTTCAATATGCTAACAGTTAGGGTTTCTAGCGAATAGGAAAAATCGTTTCTCGAAAAAAAATTTCGCGACTATTTCACTTTATTTTCGCTTTTCTTTCGCTCGCAAAAAAAAGCTATCTATGCTGGCCACGTGGAATAGACTCCAACGACACCTACCCACAAAGAAATCGTCGTTTAAAGTACATAATATATGAAGCAAGTACCAAATATTATGAAATATCAACTATATACAAATGCTTTGAAAAATTATCGATCATTTTAGGTTGTAATTTCTGAATGATTTGTTTGGAATTAAATTGATTTTATTACGATCCTAGTCGAATATTGCTACTTTCTGAATTTGTATGGACGCTACGTTCTTCAGTATGAGTTGTTTTTAACAATTTTCTCCTTATAGACGCAACAGATAGAAGTAAGATTAGTAGCGATCACCATCGATAATTTTTAGTCGGAAGCCTTTTTCATTTTTCGCGAACACTCCCTTTAAATGCCGTCTTTTTAATTCCACAGTGCACTATTTATAAAAAAACTTACTATGTTGTCCAGCATTTTCTCCGCAAATGACTGGGGGCGAAGTCCCTGAAGATCCAATAGTAAAGTAATCTGAATTACACTGTCCATGTGTGTTAGGGTGAGAAGTCCAGGCCTGAGTACCGTCTGTGTATGTGAATGTATCACCTCCAGCTCCATCAGCTGCTACTGCAGGAACAGGAAGTGCAGCGGTAGTGTCAGGTCCATCTATAATTAGACCGTAATGAAAGACTATTTTGTACTTATTTATACAAAGTCACGTCTTGGTTAATTTCATTATAAACGTAATCATCGTGCTATAACGTTGAATTAACTGAATTCGTTTCATGGGTTCCCTGATTTTCTTTTAAAAATTTAGAATATTTTCTGATTTTTTAAAATTAAATAAAAATATTTTAAAATTAGATTTTATTTTTACTTCGGCTTTGTAAAGAAGCGTGTTATATATAGAGATAAGCTTTGCATCAAAACATGTACACAGACATGTCTCTCCGCCCATAAACTGTATAGCACTGCGAATCAAAATAATAGTGTTATAAATAGTTAATAGAGATTTGATAAATTTGTGGTACTTCAGTGGTAAAAGAAATCAGAATAGTCAACTTCTGAAAACATTTAAAAAGTTTTTGAGCTTTGCCACAAATTTAAAAGTTCTAATCACTATATCTGTGCAACTTAATGGTGTTATAACCTTTGATTATTCAAACTTAGACCATTTGAACCAACAGAAATTCATAGTTTAAAAAATCAAAGGGCTACTACATCGGCTTACAAATATATAAGGATTAAATACTAGAGTTTGTGGCAAAAATCATTTCCTTTCAAATTCTCTCGACATTTCGATAATTTTTATCGATTATATCAACAGTGTTCAGTGTCGAAACTAATTGGAAAGTTAGGAAATTCATAAAGGAATTCAGTCTTTGCAACAAACTCAAAGAGTTAAACCTTTTATATTTTAAACTTAGATCTAATTGATCCAACAGAGCTGAAAACTTTAGAATGGGATATCCTTAATCCGGATCGGATAAGTAATCTGGAGATTAAAAATGAGAGGATAACAAGCAATATTTAATCTCGAAATTAAAAAAAAGAGTGGATTAAGCATTAATCCCGATATCCACCATTCTAAAGTTTTCAGCTCAGAACTCATAGTTTGAAATATTTAAGGTCTAATACATTAGGTTGCAAATATATCAGGATTAGAATATTTAAGTTTGTGGCAATGTCTTAACAATTGAAGTTACTAACCCAATGTGAAGGTCTCGAAGTCAAGTCTGATCTGCTTGATGTTGGAGTTGCAGGGGCAGATCTCCAAAGAGCAGGAGAGGGGGAGGGTTGATGGCTGGCTGAAGTAGGTGTTATTCTCATTAGATGAAGCTCCGCAGGTTGAGGTCGCAACTACAAATTTTTATACTGTCGTCGTCGTTTATATCAATACAATGAAGACGACTTTCGATTTTCACCAAGTTTTCAAACAGCATGGATACACATACAGATGGAAATACAGAGAAGCTGTCAATTTTACAGCCTCTCTTTGTTTAACTATAAACTTTTAATTTTAAAAAGGTTGAATTAGAAATCAAAACTTGAATCGAAAAGTCATCTTCATGGTATAAGTATAAATGACGACCATTGTATTTTATATAATACTTAATATGTAGAATTGCATTAAAAATTATTATCAATAATAATAATATTTGCATAATATAGAATGGTACAATAAAGTAAAAAAATTCCTAAATATCTAAATAATAAGGATCCTCTTTTCTAGACCGAAATTTAAGTTCAGTTCATGCTTGTGAATTTCCCGGATTTTGAAACCCAGTTTTGCGAATTTTTCAATAAAATTATAGCAAATTAAAAATATCAGTTGTAGAGACACCCTGTGTAATTGAGTCTTCCTATTCCGCAGCCTAATGGGTCCAACTGTACAAGATTTTGTTAAAGATCACTTACAAAGACAACAGACTCCAAACCCACTAGCACAGTTTCCAGATGCAACTCCACCCTTGGCTGTACACTCAGCTCCAGAGTAACATGTTCCAGCCTAATCAGTCATTCAATATATTTATCCTTTCATCACTATTTTAAGATTTAAAATATCAGACTAGTCCACTGAGGCTTAAAACTGGTCCCTCAGACTAAAATTTAATCCCCTCAGACATGGGGACTTATATCCTTCAGCCTAGGGGACTTATATCCTGCGGCCTAGGGAACTTATATCCTGCAGCCTAGGGGACTTATATCCTGATGCGGCCTAGGGGACTTTGTGGGTTTAATTCCAAATTTGCTTAGGTAAGCCATCCCTTGAACAGTTTTCATTCATACATTTATCTTTTCTCATCCTTTCATTCATCCAGTAATTTATCCTTTGATTCTCTGTTATTTATTTCTTTTTTTTAAGACCCTAAAGGGACTGTAAATGTAATTTTAAGTGACCCTTTATCTATAAGAGTGGTTTGCGAATTAATGCATGCAGAGACAAATATCGAAAAAAATGCCGGATTTTAACACCGTTGAAGAAAAACAGATATTTATATAATTGCTGTTTCAGATTGGCTGTCCCACTTGAAATTACGTCTGCCGTCCCTTTAACATGCTTATACCTATAGTTTGTGAAATTACGAAACTGATCTTCTATCTTTACCTTATTATCTGTTGTAGTGCATTCTGCATTGTCAAATTTTACAACATTGAACACGGAAAATCCTAGAATAAATTCTGTAGAATCATCTCAAGTCTCATCCTTTGTGGGTAACCCTGTATCTAAATCACACATTTTCTATTTTTAAATAAATTCAATAGAAAACAGATAACTTGTACAGTACTGCAGGGTAAATGTGAAGATAAACAGATAACTTGTACAGTACTGCAGGGTAAATGTGAAGATAAACAGATAACTTGTACAGTACTGCAGGGTAAATGTGAAGATAAACAACCCCGTTTAAGTGTCACCTCTATTGCACCCCATACAACTGTAAGATAGGAAGACGACACTAAATGTAATTGATGTCGATAAAAGATAAAATTGTATTACAACAGTCGCCTGAAAATTAACTCCTTATGGAAGCAGGTCTGTGTACACTCTATCTCTATCACTTTAAAAGGTGTCTGTTTAAATCACATCGAAAGGTTTAGGGCTAAAATGAACAATATTAAGGTTTGAATTATATTGAGCAATAGAAATGTTTGAAGAATACATTACTATACATAAAGAAAAGTATTTTAAGAATAATATTGAGTAAATCCCAAAACTCAGTTTTCAAGACTTACCTTCATCCTGGGGTTTACCAACTTAAATAGACTTGGAGGGGGGGGGGGGGGATCTTATATTGCGTATACAGTTTTTTATACAGAGGGGGATGAGGAAAAAAATTGCGGAGGACCAAATTAAACACAGTTCAAAATATATCTTTCTAAATCAATTTCTTGATAGTGTAAACCTTTAATATTTCATACTCAGACTAATTGATTTAACAGAATATATGGATCATAAAATCAGAATTTGTGGCAAAAACTCAGTTCTTTTGTAGCGTATATGTATATATCTTTGTAAATGTAAATATTTTAAGATTAATAATTGTTAAACATTACCAAATCTTATATTTGAAGAATAAAGAGAAACAAATTTAACTATGTATTCTGACTAAAACTGCAATACTAAATATTATCTTTAATATTTCCAAGTAACATAATAGAAGATATTTTATGATGTTAAAAACAATAAAAAATAGATTAAACTTACCTTTCCCGTCCCTCTCTTGGGGAGCAGCGAAAACTGCTCCTAGAGCAAATATAGCAACGACGAACCCTCTCATAGCTGCTGACTAACTAGGCAGCAGACCAGGCACTAAGCCTAGGGTTAAACCAGGGGGGGGGGCACTGCTCGGTAACAAAATCTTTGGAGGGTTTACTATAGAAACTTGAGTGTCCACGATGAATGAAAAATGTATATTTCCGGAGAATTAAATTAATTTTGATGAACTCATTTTTTTGATAGTTTTGACAATATAGAAGGGAAAAATGATTATTTACAACTGGGCCCGATAAAGTATTTTCAACCCCCCATCTTCTATCTAGGTCAACGCAGAGTAACGGTAAGGCCCAGGCAGAATGGGTTAAACTGTCTGAAGTATCATCAATCACAGGGGGAAACCATTGCCCTAGTATCTTACGCGCCCTCCCGTCCCCTCCCCTCTCCATCCTCCCCCTAATCCTTCCCCGTTCTGTCCACCCCTTCCCACCCCAAACCTGCAGGCCCTAGGCATTCGTACTCAAAAGTCAAGGAAGCTAGGGTTAAATTTCACTTTTCCCCCACCCCCTTGCCCCTCTTAGCCAGGATATGGTCTCTCAACCCCCCTCCTCCCCCTTTCTGACCTAAAGGGAACCATTTAAACAATTTCTCTTCATAAATCTGAAATTTCTTGTTCAGTTCCAAGGAAGGGGTAAAGGGTAAGGGACAAGAATAAAAATGGGGCTGAAAGTCGGGGTTCTCTGTCTTCTACTAAATGGTTTTGTTCTATCAGAGACTGACCCACCAGCCGGGAGATGTAAGTCACCAATCTTATTTATACATGGAAATATATCTCCGATGCTCAATTTTCAGACAAGTTTTGGAAAGAAATATTTGAAAATTTAGAAAAAGGTTTTGCAGTTTTTTGCTGGAAACTTAAATTTCTGTATCCTTATATCTTAACAATCTGATGGTGTAAACCTTTGATATTTCAAACTTGGATTATTAGATCTAACATAATAAATAGTTTGAAATATCAAAGATCTACGTTAAAGATTTAAGGATTAGAAAATCGGAGTTTGTGGCAAAGACTCAAGTTCTTTGTTTAATATAGATATACAGTGATATCCAGAAAACTGTGGAATATTAATACGACATTAAAGCAAAACTGAAGTACATTTGATGTTGTTTCAATGCAAGCAACTCTTCTTGTACGTTATCAAATCACTTATTAAGTGAATTGGTTCTGTTTACACTAAACAAGCGGTGAGCCTCATCTTAATTGGACTCTTTAAAGTCTTAACTTGAGTCTAAAAGTCTACTTACTGTTTCAGAGTTTTCTGGTTCTCACTGTATACAATTGTAAATAAATGGATAATAACAGTAAAATATTTTTAACAAATTATTTTAACAATCAGTGAAAAAAAGGTAATGTCAATAAATGTCAATAATAATTGACCTTCTTGTAAATAATATAAAAAAATATTGTGAGATATCAACTATATACGAATGCGTTGTATGGATCGACGCTATGTTCTTAGGTTTGAGTCGTTTTAAACAATTCTTTCCTGATAGACGCAACAGATAGAAGTAAGATTAGTAGCAATCCCCATCGAATATTTTTCGACATACCCTCCTTTTTTTGTGTTCACTCCCTTGAAAGGGAATTTAAACCTTATTTTATCATTTCCAATTATAATTTCAATAAATTTTGGTTTCTTATCAACGCCGATATTCTTCTCATTGTTACTCAGTTAAAGTTTATTTCTTTATAAATCGAGGGTATTTTAGATTACGTCTTTTTAATTTGTCAATTTGTCTTCTCTTTCCTTTTCTAATCCTCAATTTATATTTTAGTTTTGTTCTCCGCTCCTGTTGCAACAGTAATTCCATGTAAGCATTCTCAGTTTTTTAAATATCAGATTTTTAATTTTTAATTTTTAAAGGAATTGAGTCTTTGCCACAACTCTGATTTTCTAATTCCTATATCTTTGCAACCTAATGTCGTAGACCTAAAACTTTAGTTTTAACTATGAGTTAGAACACTTAAATTTGTGGCAAAGATTCAATTCCTTTATTTTTTGTTTTAATCATTTTGACTTTTAAATTGATCAGCTGACTCGTGTGGGTCAACACTGTCCAGTAAAACTGGAACCTTCTCCACCCCTGCTGACTTTAGTACCCAGAGCACGTGTGTCTTCAAGATCGGGAAACAGAATAAGAACATCTGCCAGTATAGGCTAGACTTTGATACCTTTCTCCTTGCCAGTCCAACCTCAGTTTCTGCAGCAGGTTGGTGGAATATTATACAATCGTCGTCATATATATATATATATATATATATATATATCAATACGACGTTCAATTTTGATTTCTACTGCGCTGGAATAACACAAAAATGTAAACAAAGGGAAGTTTTCAGGTTTACTTGCAAAATAATTTTATAGATTAACACCGTAATTAACACTTCAATCAAATAATTTACATTTCAACACGAAACGAGATGCTTTGATTCTAAAAAACTGACCTTGCTTTTAAAGTTGATGGTATTATTTGATAAAATATAGCTTAATAACAGACAATTCTTTGGACAAATATTTGATTGCTATCTATTTAGGACTGGGTCGGTGTTCAGCTGAGCAGCTTAGTTTAGTATCTGGAGATGGTCTGGCAGCTCCAACTATATGCGGGGATGCATCAGGACAGCATAGTAAGTAAATATATTTATAATATTTATTTATATTTATATATTTATAAAGAGTAATCTCTGTTTGTTTGTGTGTCCGATCATAAATCAAGAACCCCTTGACCGATTTGCCTCAAATTTTGAATGGGAACTTGGCGCGGGAATGTTCTTATGATTTAAACATTATAAGTTTTACTTTTATTAATAAGGTTCAATTTCCAGACAAAGCTTGGTTCCCGCGCTAAAGATTTCTGATAAAATGTTTTGTTAATAACCATCAAGATATCTCTGTTTGATTGAATGTCCAACCATAACTCATGAACCCCTTGACCTAAATGAGAGTTAAACTTTTACATTGTATTTGTCGACTTATATTGTGGTCTCGGAAGGTGTATATTTACAGGTAAAGCTGGGTTCCCTAGCTAGTATAAAATAAATCAATAAGTCCAGTAAAAATACTTTAAACTTGGAACTTTTGTGCTGGATACTCATAATCCCGATCCACAGATCTTAATATCCACAGTTTGCACCTACATAGATTATCTCTTTATTATAGTTACCTTTCAGGATACAATTACACGGTACTATCGAGTAAATGTTTAATTAATCTGCAGATTAACATAGCGAATAAGTATTGATCTCGATATCCACAATACAAGAGTCCCACCTATTATCATACTCAGATTTATTTTCTAGTGTATCTGAATGCTGGCGGGGAAACTGATACTGCAGTTCTAACCTTCACTGGACCTTTCACATCCACATCAGATTTCAGTATTAAAGTTACACAGATAGAGTGTAGTTCAAAGGACAGGTATACTTCAGGATGTTGGGTACTTTCCCAAAGGCATTTTGCCAAGCAGAAACTTCCCAAGGGTATTTTCCCAAATGGTAACTTCCCAAATGTACAATTTACCAAGCAGAAACTTCCCAAAGGTATTTTCCCAATTGGTAACTTCCCAAATGTACAATTTACCAAGCGGCAACTTCCCAAGGGTATTAATCTACAGTGGCAGGCGTTTATATAAATACAATGAAGAAGACTTTTCTATTTTAGTTTATATTTCTAGGAGTAGGAAGCTTCTTTCAAATTACAAACTTTTAACAAAGAGAAGCTGTTAATTTAGACCTTTTCTTTGTTTCCATGATTATGTAGAAATCGAAGTGTCTTCATTGTCTTGGTATATATAACATAACTGTAGTACAGAGAACTATTAGTGTAAATCTATAGAAAACCACTTAATTAATAAGGGTAAGTTTCTGTAGATTGATAAGGGAAAGTTTCTTTAGATTAATTAGGGTAAATTTCTGTAGATTAATAAGGGTAAGTTTCTGTAGATTAATAAGGGTAAGTTTCTGTAGATTAATAAGGGTAAGTTTCTGTAGATTAATAAGGGTAAGTTTCTGTAGATTAATAAGGGTAGATTTCTGTAGATTAATAAGGGTAAGTTCTTGAAGATTAATAAGGGTAAGCTTCTGTAGATTAATAAGGGTAAGTTTCTGTAGATTAATAAGGGTAGGTTTCTGTAGATTAATAAGGGTAAGTTCTTGAAGATTAGTAAGGGTAAGTTTCTGTAGATTAATAAGGATAAGTTTCTGTAAATTGATAAGGGTAAGTTTCTGAAGATTTATAAGGGTAAGTTTCTGTAGATTAATAAGGGTAAGTTTCTGTGGATTAATAAGGGTAAGTTTCTGTAGATTAAAAAGGGTACGTTTCTGTAGATTAATAAGGGTAAGTTTCTGTAGATTAAAAAGGGTAAGTTTCTGTAGATTAATAAGGGTTAGTTTCTGTAGATTAATAAGGGTAAGTTTCAGTAGATTAATAAGGGTAAGTTTCAGTAGATTAATAAGGGTAAGCCCTACAACAGTCTTAGGCTTAAAGGGTACTGAGGTTAACTTGAAATTATCCATTGATCCAGAAAAGACTTAAAAATCTAATTTAAAAAAGGTGTCCCAAGAAACTTGAAAGTCCTCTTTGAGTTTTTAATTTATTTGTGACCTACTTTCACATAGAATAATAACTAGTAAATTCTCCCAGCCTAAATTGTGGTCTGATTTTTGCACAGTGAAACCCTTAATAACGAATACATCGGAAGAATTTATCAAATGTCGTCTTGACAATTTTTCAATGAGTTTTACACTATATTACGTAAATTTCAGTATTTGCAAAAATAAATAAATAGCCATGAATATGCGGGAACAGTTTTAAAGAGTTCCATATAATTATTTAATTAAAAACTAAATATCTGCAACATTTCATTATCAGAAAGTGAAGAATACAACAGTTGATGAATTCTTTCGATGTATTCGTTATTAAGGCTTTCACTATAACCGGAGATATTAAAAACTTTGATCAGATTTAAATTTTACTAAATAAAACCAAAATTGTCGAAAACTAAACCAAATTTATCATATTTCCGGTAATATTAAAAGCACAAAGAGGTAGACCAAATTTTGGCAATACCACGACTAGGGATATTTTGTGATTATTAACTCTAGAATATGCTTCTAAAAATGCAGCAAACTATTTCGAAGATCAAAGACGACCTTCAATTGCTGCTGTCGTGTCTCGTGGCACACCCTGTATACAATCAATTTGTGACAAAAATATTTGTTCAGAGCTCCAGACGGTTGTTTACAATACTTTACTGAAGAAACAGGAAGCATTGAATCCTTTAACTTTGATGGATCCCATCTTCTCGAGAATATGGATTACAAGATCTGTATCAAGAATGGAAAGGGTGAGTACAGATTTGTAGGGATGGATCGTTTTTAATTTAAAAAAAACGATCGTTTCGTTTTGAAAACGAAGAAGAAAAACAAAAATCGAAACGATCATTTTCAAAAACAACAGTTTAGAAAAAAATATTGTTTTTCGTTTTTTAAAAACGATAAGATCGTTTTCAAGAACGATAGTTTTTCGTTTTATAAAAACGTTCGTTTTTGAAAACGATCGTTTAAATTAAAAAACGATTGTTTTTTAAACGGCCCTTCCTTAACGACCATTAACGACGACCCTTCGTCAACGATCATTAACGACCTTTAAAAGAGAAATACATTTTTTTGGTCAAAAAAATCCGAAGTCTGTAAAATCATAAAAAACGATCGTTTAAAAAAACAATGGTTTTTCTTTTTTTGAAACGAAACAAACGAAAAACGATCGATTAAGAACGATGAACAACCTTATTTGTAATTATTCGTCTTGAGATTCTGGATTTTTTTACGTTAAAAGTGTATATTTATTTTATCGCAAAATTGTATTCTCGATAAGTTTAATTGCTTTTATTGCATTATGGGAATATTTTTCTCAGGTCAAATATATTGATTGTTCAAAACGTAAAACAAAAGAAAAAACATTTTGAAATATATATCTTTATAGGTATGTGTGGTGCTAGGTATACTGAGGATCCTAACATAGCAGAATCATTCTTGATGTCTACTGAGGAGTGGGCTGTTGAGTCCTTTACTGATGCTGCAGCTGGTGGAGTAGGTGGAGCAGGTCCTTTACAGGGAGATTTCTGTGATAATTACATTACTATCCTTGGAGGATTCACTGCTTCTTCACTTACACAAGAATCAAGTGGGTATGTAACTACAGAGGCAGCTATAACAACTACAACAGAGGCAGCTACAACAACAACAGAGGCAGCTACTACAACAACAGAGGCAGCTACTACAACAGAGGCAGTCACAACAACAGTAGCGTCTGCAGTCACAACAACAGCAGCGTCTGCAGTCACAACAACAGCGTCAGCCTCAACACCAGTAACAGTAGCAGGTCGACGTAGAAGAAGAAATGTAGAAACAACTAGTGATGAGTTATTTGAAACAACCAAGCCAGGAAAAAAACAAACTAAAAAAAATTTAAAAACTGAAAGGAAAAATAGGAAAAATGTTCGAAAATCAAACAAGAAAAATAGGCGGATTTCTAAGAAGACTAAGAAAGGCAGGAAATCCCCCAAAAATAAGAATGCCGCCAAGCTGAGTAGGAAGCATGCAGCCAAGCACGAAAAGAAGCATGCAACCGAACACAAAGGGAAGCATGCAGCAAAGCAAGGACAAAAACGCGCAAACAAACACAAAGGAAAGAAGAATTCAGCCCAGCTCAGAAAGAAACATGCTGCTAAGCAAGGAAAAAAACAAGCTGCAAAGCAAGGAAAGAAGAATACAGCCCAGCTGAGAAAGAAGAATACAGCCCATCTGAGAAAGAAGCATGCTTCTAAGCAAGGAAAGAAGCATTCTTCTGAGCAAGGAAAGAAGCATGCTTCTAAGCAAGGAAAGAAGCATGATGCCAAGCTTAGACAGAAGCATGCTTCTAAGAAGAACTCTCCAGTTAAAAGAAGAAAGAACAATTTAAGGAATGGTCCCGACAGTCCTGGTGTGTAATTTATTAAATACAGTGAGAACCAGAAAAAGGTGAAATAGGAAGACGACATTAAAGTAATATTGAAGTGTATTTGATGTTACAAAGCAGTAGCTTGAATATCAATTTATTAAGTGGATCTGTTTACACAATTACTGTGTCTTATGTTCATTGGACTATTTATAGTCATAAAATGAGTCAAAAAGTCGTCTTCCTATTCCAGAGTTTTTTTTTGGTTATCACTTTAAATATTCAAATACTTCTTATTTTTAAACATTTTATGCATATTTATTTAATTAACTTTTTAGTTGATACTTCGGAGTACTCCTTTGTATTCCCAGTTTACGGTCCTCAGGACAGGTAACAATAATAATAATAATAATAATTATAATAATAATCAAAATCATATCAATAATTTTTACATATCAATTCAGGCTTTTTCCCGATTGTATTGCTTTGCTGCGAATGTAGGGGATCTGAACTCCCTATTGTCTGAACGGGGGGAGGGGGGGGGGAGAGGGCTTGAAAGTGGGTAATACCCAATAAATACTGTTATATCCTGCAATTTTATTAAAAAAATTTCGAATATTTTTGTACATTATTTTACAATTTTGTACAATTTTGAACACTTATGAACCTTTTTTTACGCTTTTGTGAATTTTTGTGCTATTTTTATTTTTGAACACTTTTGAACACTTTTGTACAATTTTGTACGATTTTGGACAATTTTGTAGAATTTTGTACAATTTTGTACTGCAATATTATATAAAATACTGTGTTATAGATATTGCAGTTCTTGTCACAAACTCTCATTTTCTAATCCCTATGTAATCCAATTTAGATTATTTGATTATTTGATTATTTGATCATAGTTTGAAATATCCTGGGTCTACGACAATGGGTCGCAAAGATACGGGATTGGAAAATAAGAGTTTGTTGTATAAGTTTGAATTTTTATGAAAAAGTTTGATCTGGACATTGTAACTTTGTAAAATTTTGTACAATTTTGTAAAGTTTTGTACAATTTTGTACAATTTTGTTCAATTTTGTATCGAAATGTTATGATGCATGTATTCTCTAGATACTGTGGATATCATCTAAATGGTAGAAGTCAAGATCTATCATCAACTGCACTACTACCTTCCTTCAATGCTGGGAACATTAAGGAAACAGTAATAAGTAAGTTAATCTTTAAATCTTAGAAAAACAATTTTAACTCATAAACAGATATATCAATTCAGCTGAGAATTTTGTGTAAGGTGTTTTTAATAGAAATAATTTCATTTGTTCACGCACTTCTGCCCCTTTAGTAAAAGTAAATTCAACCTTTATGAAGCATAAAGTATGACCGCGTCAACCTTGTTGCACCTGCTAGTCCGATCAATAGAGCTAGGTACAGTACAAACTGGGACCGGAAAGGTTGACCCGGCTCGGAAATTCAAATGTACCACGGCTGCCCGTGTGTTTTGTTTATCATTAAAAATTAATCTAAAGAACATATTTGATGTTCTTCCAGGCTCAAATTATTTTTTATCAAATAAGCATAATAACAAACTAAACAATTGATATTATTAATATTTGGGAACGATTTCGGTGGTTTTGACCCGCGATATACAAAGAGAATAGAATATATATTAGAGTGAAATTTACTAGAAAAAAGTGTAAAACGGCCTTTTTGTTGTAGTACTGTTTCCATACTGCGCTCTATAACCTTTTAGGCCCTGGAACATCATTTTATAGAAAATATAAAATTAATATTAAAAAAAAACCAAATTATGAAATAGGCTGGTTTCATAATTGACCAATGACCATTTCACATAGACTCTATGCTTTACAAACGATGATTTTCTGTTATAACTATAAATCAAATGATGTTTTTTATTCACCTAATTCATTTTATAAAGTTTATTCAACAGTTTTAAAAAATTCGAAATTGAAACAGATAGTCTAGGGAACATACTGTATTAATGTACTCTACTCCATATAATTTGTGAATATTTACATGATTTGTACACTTTCAGACTGAAAGGGACTGACAAATTCATACCGAAGGATAGTCTAAATTCCACTCTAATATATATTCTATTCTCTTTGGCGATATCTATTTTTGCAGTATGAATTCTTTCCAGATGTTCACAATAGCATCGTCGTCATTTTATTTCAATTTTGTATTTCTATCATTCAAACAGAAAAAGTCAAGTCAACATATACAAAGAAAAATTGTTAATTAACAGATTTTTTATGTACTTGTTTACTTGAAAAATGCTTTTTAGAGTTAAAGCATTATTAATAACAAGTCGTCATCATTGTAATAATCGCTCAACCTTTATGGGTAATAATTCATATAAATATAAATTATTTTCAGGTGAAAATCTGCCTCTGGAGGTACTTGTTATCACCACAAATGCTGATGAAGAAGCTGCTAAGCATCCTAACATGGCCAAGAATCCAACTGGTTTTAAGATTAGATATACCCAAACTCCTTGCAATTCAGGATAAAAAAAAACACCTTTTGTCAGGGGTGCTTTTACAGTTATACTAAATATATCTCCTTTTTCATCAAACCATTTCCTCATTCTTCAAAATCTTGCCCCACCCCACCCCCAACAAAAAAGACCAGCGATGGTGCCTAAGAATCTCAAATAAGTAAACAAATTTATAATTCAAATTGAAATTTCATTGTGAATTATGTATCTATTGTTATTAAATAAGACATACACATGTTGTGTTAGCATCATTATTAATTATTCTTGTATTTTTGGTTAAACATTGTTGTTATTCATATTTTTAGCTGTCTTAATAAATATGTTTTCTTGTTTCGCTACAACTCTTTTGTAAACAATTATTCTTAAAATGCGCTAAAAAATAGCTTTCACAAGGTAACAATTCAAATGAAACTTACTTTTTTCAATTTTTTTTTTCTATCTTTCTATCACAGGAAGCTCTCCTAAAACTACGTGTAGAGCCATAAAAAGTCAAAAAAAAGGCCATAGAAAAGCCGTAAAAAAACCAAAAAAAAGAAAAAATGATTAATTAAATCAGTCCTGAGAAATTTATTGGAATACTTAAAAGCAAGGTTATAAATATAATATATAAGTTAATTGCGTATACTCTCCTTACATATTGAAACCAGTTCTCTCTGGGCGGAATTTGTAAACAAGAATAGATGCATCAGTGTTCGTTTAGTATCCGAGGAGGTTAAATGCAATAAATTTTGATAATTTTGATAATTCACATAATAGTTTCCTATGACCAAAATATTTCATTGATTTTTTTATGTGAAAGATGAATCCCATGTCAGGCTTCGACATCCGTCTTGTGTTTACATTACCGCCCAGAGACAGTACACTGCAGTACAAAAGATGCGTACACCTCTGAAATAACTTTCCTTGCATCAAAACCTTGCTTTAAAGAGTTCATCATAAATGTACAAAGGGAGAGTTATTGATCACGCCTAATATATTATATATTTTGGTGTATTAAATATTTTCTGAATTTTCTTGATTTAAAATATATTTGACATGTTGTGTCCAGTGAGTCCAGTGTTCTAGCAGATTGAAGTCTAATTTAATTCCAATTTATCGAAGATTGGAACAGATTACTTTTATCGAAAACTTGTCTACACTAGCCAGAAACCGTCAAGATACTTGAATCTGAATAATACTGGATACTGGATACTGGATACTGGATACTGGATACTGAATACTGGATACTAAATTCCTTGGCAAACTTCTATTTCCTACTGGTAAACTTAGTGATACGTTCGATCACATCAAGAGTGAATTTGAAAAAAAACTAATAAACATTAATGCACTTCTTATTCGGGATGAATATAAAGTCTGGATCTACAAACATTATTTCATTCCTTCTATTCGATTTCTGCTCACTTTTCATACAATAGCACTGAGTCATCTGAAGAAACTGATAAATTCACTGATAAATTTGTGAAAAAATGGACTGGATTACCACCCTGTGCAACAAATGCTGCTCTACACTTGAAACCTGGCCTAGACATCACTTCAATATCCACCCTGTACAAAACAACTATGACGCAAGCATACACTAGGATAAGAATACTGGGTAATGAAACAGTTAACTCTGCCTTATCTTAATTAGACAGGGAAAAAAATTGGCTCTGCAAAAATTCCATCACAGATCCTATGTAGAAAAAATGTTTCAACAAGCAACATTAGAGAACTATAGTCAAGCAGAAATGCCTGAGTGGGATGACCAAGCTTCCAAACATCAATGCTATAAAAAATGAAAGCAACTGTCAGTGAAAAAGTATCTTTTGAAAACGAAACGTTCTGGAGAGAACATACAGAAACACTCATAAAACAAGGACATTTTCTCTGCCTGGCAATGCTTGAAAAATCTGACATGATCTGGAATTCATTCTTACTTGTTCAATCTGAAGAAAGGTACACTGAAATTCCTACTCAACTCCTGTTTGGACACCCTGCCAACACAAACTAACCTTCTACAATGGGGAAAATCTGTATCAGATCTCTGTAAACTATGTCTACAGGCAGGCGCTGAATTTCAAGGTAGAAGACAAGAAACTACTAACTATATTTTGAATGGCTGCAAGGTTGCACTACACCAAAAAAGATATACTTGGAGGCATAACAATCTTATTAAATATATAACTGGATTAATTGATATTGACCGATTTCTGATGTATGCCGACATCCCGTCCCATACCCTTCCAGGGGGAGGTACTGTTCCCCCCCACCTCCTTGTGACCGCAGAGAAACCAGATCTAATAATTATCGATAGAATGGAGGAAAAGATGGATATTTTTGAGCTTACTGTCCCATTGGAAACAAACATCAAAAATGCCAACGCTCAAAAGATGAACAAGTATGAACATTTTATCACAGATATAACAACTAGGGATATGTCTGTTCACCCTTTTGAAATCGGCTCAAGAGGATATATCTCACTATCAAATAAGGCGATTCTAAAGAAACTCCATAAGTTCTGCAAACTCAGTGTTAGTTTCAAAGCAATGTGCGAAAATCTATCAAGCCTTGCAGTACTGTCATCATACCACATTTTTTAGAAAACGAAAAACACTAGACTGGGACTAAGAAACCCATTTCTGAAAACCACCTCTGAATAGCTAAACTATACTCATGCTAAAAGTCTTGTATTGCACCTTTTTTTTGGCAAACCCTGTCAATTTTAAAATGCGATATCCAGAGAAAAGAGTATTAGTTTGTAAACTTTTATATTGTTTAATGTAATTTTGCTTTAGACAAATATAAATGATGAATATATTCTGGATACTGATAACTAGATAATGGTTATTGGATACTAAATGCTGGATACTGAATAGTGAATACTGCTTACTGGAGTGTATATTATGATACTGGACACTGGATACTGGATATATTATTAAAATTCAAGAAATGCAAAGCAGTAATTTAGATTGGCATAGAAAAATCAGGCAGATATTCAGTTAGTTTATCCCTGAATTATTCTTACATTATGCTTACATTTTTTTAAATCCGCTAAATTTTTGTTTGTTTTTGTTTAACAATGCATATAACACATATAGAGAAAATGTTCACAATTGAAATAGAAGATGGGCTGCGACGCGCCCTAAAAGCCTAATATACTTAAACTTTTAGAAAAGTTTAAAAACAACTTATTTTTCACAATAAACAAAGTTTTGTAAAAAATAAGGTCCCCTTCGGTTTTAGATCAATTTCTCAAAGAATTTATGTATGTGTAGATGTATGTGTATATGTATGTGTATATGTATGTGAATATGTATGAGTATATGTATGTGTATATGTATGTGTATATGTATGTGTATACGTATGTGTATATTTATGTGTATATGTATGTGTATATGTATGTGTATATGTATGTGTATATGTATGTGTATATGTATGTGTATATGTATGTGTATATGTATGTGTAGGTGTATGTGTATATGTATGTGTATATGTATGTTTATATAAAATCAAAAACATTTTTCAAAATATATTTTTATTGATTGTTAATAGAGAATTGTTGTAACAATGAATAAGAACAAGAGAATTGGATTGAGAGAAAAAAGGGAAGATGATGACAGACGACAACGGGAAGATAACGGGATGAAAACTCGGAAAATCGGAAAAAGACCGTTCTACTAACATCTCCGGGGGGTTCTAAACCTGAATCCAGGTCGGAGAAGAATCTCCGCAGGGTTTGGATTCTCCGGGCCTTCTCAGAGCCTACTCCGCGGTTCAGTTATTCCCCACACCTTGAGAATTCATAAATATTTTCTGTTTAACAGTTTTAAGATAATTAATTTTGATCATCTCGATATTGTGCTAAATAACTAAAAGGTTTGTGGACAGTTGCTGCTGTTAATTGGAATTGAGTCTTTGCCACAAAATAAGATTTTCTCCGCTCTACATCTTTGCAACCATATGTTGTAAACCGTTGATATCTTAAATTTAGATTATTTAATACTATAGTTTGGGAACCCAGCGTCATAGTTAGTCCTACCGTTTACCCGCATCTTGTCGAAAATTATAATTTTAGCTATTTTTCCCCGATTAAAGTGGACCTACTCAATTTAGAATCTCAAAACTAATCTCAGAACATTCCCGTGGGTCTCCCGAGTTCCCCAATACGAATTTCAGGAAAATCGGTCCAGGGGTTCCTGAGTTATGATCGGAAAAACAAACAAACAGTTATTACAACTTTATATATATAGCAGAATTCATTGAAATGAATATCTAAGGTCTACGACATTGTGTTACAAAAATATAGGGGATTGAAAATCAGAGCTTGTGACAAAGACTGAATTACTTTATACATAATATATATACATATGTGTGTTGTACAAGTACATTGCCTTTATGTTTTAACAAATTCCTAAACACTCTCTGGAGGAAAGGTGTATGACAAAATCCACAGAGGAAAATATCCTTGATTTATTTTATTTCTCTGATGTAGAAGACTGGTTACATAGAAATCATAAACTTGTAACTATGGAAAGGGGTGCAAAACACTCTATAAACCTTATTAAACTATATCTGTGTAGAAAACTGTATTCTGAATTTCGAGCAGTTTACACCGTGCACTCCTGTATGCCGAGTCCATTAGTCCCTGATCCAATCAGGGTTCCTGATCCAATCAGGGTTTAGTCATGTGTTTGGTGTCTATTCTGAACCAATAGAAATAATATGGCGGTAACATCAATCTTTCTATCTATCTCTCATTATTAAATTAGAGTTATGAATTCTTCAATCGGCGCTATCAGTAAATGGAAATATTTTCTTCTACTGAAACTATAGTGCGTGCAGTATTATATATATCATTTGTCAAAAGCTCGAGTTACTTATATCTTTTTTACCTATCTACACAGTCTACAATTGTTACTTTTTCCCCTATCTACACCGTCTACAATTGTTACTTTTTTCCCTATATACACCGTATACATTGTTACTTTTTTTATTGATTAATTATTTCTAGTAATGGATTAAGCTACCTTTATGCATGCAGTTCATATAGATAATTTTATAAATTTTCTCTTGGGATATAAATATTTCAAATATTTCTCTTGGGATATAAATATTTCAAAGTTTACTAAGAACAAACTTTTTGCAGAATACGGGTTTGAAATATTAGAAATTAAAAAAGGGGTTTCCATCTG